CCCCGCGAGGGCGCCCTGGCGGCCCGGGCCTGCGCCTTCCCTGGGGGGAGGCGCCCGAGTCGCGGCGCCGGAGGCGCCTCGGACCGCCCCTCGCGCCAGCCCTGGGCGGCCCGGGCCCCCAGGGGGGGGGGAGTGGGTGGGCCCGGTCGGAAAGGGCATAGCGAGTGCATCCTACGCCGCCGCAGACAGCACCCGCAAGCAGAAGGCGTGACAGCCGCCGCGCATACCGCGACGCCGCCGCTAGCCTCCGACCCAGCCCCCATCCCCAGCACCCCATTCCCCTCACTCCTCTGCTGCCCCCGCCCCCTCTCCCTCCCTCCCCTCATTCCCTCCTCCTACCTCCTCCTCCCCCCTCCTACTCCTCTCCTCCTTCCCTTTCCTCCTCCTCCTCTATCTCCTCCTCCTCCTACTCCCCTCCTCCTCCTTCCTCTCTCATCCTCTCCCTCCTCCTCCTCTTGGTGAGCATTTTTTTATTCTGGGTTCCGGCTTTAGGCGCATGGGGGGGAGGGGGGGGGGTCCGGCTCTCGGCCCGTAGTCAATGCCTTCGATTGAATCATGTGGGGAATCCTGTGGGAGATGCCGATGAGGGAATCCTAGGGGAGACCCCCCATGGGGGAATCGCGCAGCGGCTGCGCGGGGCTGCGCCAAGGCTATGCGTGATTTGGCAAGCCTGTGCCAGAATTGCTAGGGATCACCTATTCATGATTCCACGAGGCCGTCGCTGGCATAACAGGGGAGGGCCCAGCCGGAGGCATGCTTTCTGGCGATCGGGTCCGGCGCCCCTGAGCCCTTTCGTTGTGGTTCCAGAAGAGTAGCACGATAAAATGCGCACAGTTGCACACATCAGCGATTCGAGTTTCTACCGGGGGAGGGGGGGGCGCCGGCCCCTGTAGTTCGTCCGATCGATTGAAGCAGGTGCCGAAATCAGCCCGGAACTTCTCTACGGGGGGGGGGGAGGGGGGGGGGAGGGGCGTTCCGCCGAAAGCAAAAACAAATAATAAAAGAATGCTCACTTGCTCTTCACTTCACCGTCATTATGCTGACTGGTTGTATGATCATCATCATCATCATCATCATCATCATCATCATCATCATCATCATCATCATCATCATCATCATCATCATCATCATCATCATCATCATCATCATCATCATCATCCTTATAATTCCTCATCATCATCATCATAATGCATCATCATCATCATCCGTCATCATCATCCTAATCATCATCACATCATCAATATCATCATCCATCATCATCATCATCATCATCATCATCAGCATCATCATCATCACCACCACCATCATCATCATCATCATCATCATCATCATCATCATCATCATCATCATCATCATCGCCATCGCTATCGTTACCGCAGTCCTCCTCCTCCTCCTCCTCTTCCTCCTCCTCCCCACCCCAGTGTCATCATCACCACGATCACGACAAGCATCCTCATCGTCATAATCATCTTAATCATCCTAATAATCAGCATCATCATCATCACCACCACCATCATCATCATCATCATCATCACCACCATCATCATCATCACCATCACCATCACCATCACCATCACCATCACCATCACCATCATCATCATCATCATCATCATCATCATCATCATCATCATCATCATGAGCCTCATCCTCATCAGCATCAGCATCATCAGCATCATCAGCAACATCATCATCGTCGTCATTCTCGTCGCCGCCGTCGCCGTCGTCATCGTCTTCATGATTGTCGTCGCCGCCGCCGCCGTCGTCGTCGTCGCCAACGTCAGTAGGATCCTCATCACCATCACGACCGCCCTCCTCTTCCTCCTCCTCCTCCTCATCATCATCATCAGCATCATCATCAGCATAATCATCAGCATCATCATGACCATCAGCATGATCATCATGATGAGCATGATCATGATGATGATCATCATCAGCATCATTATCATCTTCATCATCATTGGCAGCATCATCATCAGTATCAGCATCAGCATGACCATCTCATGACCACCACCACCAACATCATCATCATCAGCAGCAACAACAACATGCCCGTCCTGTTCCTTTTCCTCCTCCGCCTCATCCTTCTCCTCGTGGTCCTCCTCTGTCTCCTCCTCCTCCTCCTCCTCCTCCTCCTCCTACTCATCCCCCTCCTCCTCCTTCTCCTCCTCCTCCTCCTCCTCCTCATGGTCATCCTCCTCCTCCTCATCTCCTGCACCCTCTTGTCTCGGTGGGAGCTCTTCTTCTCGAGGCGGATGTCGTACACCATGAAGATCACCATCGCGGTCATCACCATGAAGATCACCATCACGCTGCCGAGCAGGCCGCGCAAGGACGACTCCCTGATGCGGTACCCAACCTCTCAGGCTCCAGCGGCGGCGGCCATCGGCACTTGAGACGCGCGCTTACGATTCCAAGCCTCCGAACCGGCCGCAGAAAGCAACTGCAAGAGAAGCATAGCCGCACGCCTTAGACTCGGGGAGACGTAAGACTCGGGCTCGGGGGACTCGGGTTGGCCTGACGTTGCTATCATGGAAACGAAGGCCCAGCTCCCGCTGCAGACATCCTTCTGTATAACTGGACCGTCAAGATCCAGCTCGTCTCAAAAAGCGTCGGCGCGCCCGAGCTCCGGCGTAATTACTCGAGTCTTACGCTTCCCCGACAGGCGTGACCACGCCCCCTCTCCCAGCTCCCCTGCCCTCCCTGCCTCCCTGCCTCCCCCCCCCCCTGCCCTCCGCCCCTGCCCTCCCTGCCTGCCCCCCCCCCCCCTGCCCCTGCCCTCCCTGCCCGCCCCCTCCCTCTGCGCCGCCTTCGCTGTTCGACCTCCACCCGTCCCGTGCCCCCGTCCTCCCCTGCCCACGCCCCTCCAGCCTCCCCCCCCCCACCTCGCCTTCCCCTCTCCGACTCTTGCCCCTCCCTCCTCGCCGTCCTCGTCTCCTCCATCCCCTCCCCTCCATTCTCGCGGCCGCCCCACCCCCTCTCCTGGCCCGCTCTCCCTTCCACAATTAATCAATATGAATACTACTCTCCTCCTTCCCCTGATGACGGGTTGGGAGTGTTCGCCCCCCCCCCCCCCCGGCTAAAGCCGCGTATTGGTTTTTTCAACACAGGATTCCCCTGGATGGCGTTTTTTCGCTGCATTTTTTCAAATGCTGCTCGCGACTGAGGCGCACAGGCCATCATCTTTGGGCCCCATGCTCGATTCGATCCGTAGCTCAAGCAGCCTGCAGCGCTGGCCTCATTTCCGCGCTTCCGCTCGATCCGAATCGTGCTCCCGCTGCAGCGCTGGCGTCATTTCCCGTGCCATGCCACGGCATGCAATGCAATGCTAGGTTGCGTTCCGCTGCGCGATGCCATGCCTTCAGCTGAAGCTGTGATATGCAGTGCTTAAGTGCCACGTCGTGCTATGCCATGCTACGCTTTGATCTTCAACGCCATGCTATGCAATGTTCTGTTTGGGGCCGCTGTGCGATGCCATGCTTTGCGTTGCAAAGCTTTGTGATGCAATTCTTCACTACGCCACGCCACGCCATGCTGTGTGACATACTACGCTTTGCGGTGCTCTTCTACGCCATGCCATGCCGTGCTCTACAATGCATCGCGTACCCTTTCGGGACATCCGACTGTGCGAGTAGAGAGGGGATCTACGCCATGGCAAGGGATGGGAGGGAGGGGTAGGATGTCAGATATGACGCGAGCGCACCTAGCTTGCCCTCCCCCCCTCCCCCTCCACCCTCCCCTCTCCCACATCCCGCCCCCGCCCCTCCTCCCCTCCCCCGGCCGCGCTTCTCCTCCCCTCCCCTCCTCTCCTCTTCCCCACCCCTCACATGTACCCCTCCTAGGGGAAGGGGCGGCCACGAGTGGGAGGGGTGGAATGCCTGGCGCGAGCGCGCATCACTTGTCCCATCCCCTTCTCCACTTCCCCTCTTTGGTATGCCCTCTCCACCCTCCGCCATCCGACGATCTGATATGTCCAGTGCGCGGTCCCAGGAGGAGGCGGAGGAGGAGGCGGCGGAGGAGGAGGCGGAGGAGGAGGCGGAGGAGGAGGAGGAGGAGGAGGCGGAGGCGGAGGAGGAGGAGGAGGAGGAGGAGGAGAGGAGGAGGAAGGAGGCGGAGGGAGGAGGATAGGAGGATGGCGAGGTGAGGCGGAGGAGGAGGAGGAGGAGGAGGTTCTCGACCCCCTCCCCGAGGGGCCCAATTCTTGCCTCCGGGCCCACTCCTTGGTCGCCACGTAGGCGCACACACTCGGGACCCCCCCCCTCCGGGGCCCCCTTCCCCCCACCCCCCCCCCTCATCCCACTCCTACACCCCCGCAGCGCCCCCGGGGGCGAAGTCGAGGCACGGCCGCCCCGATGAAGAGAGTCACAACGTCGCGAGATACTGAGGCCTCCTCCTCTCCTCCTCATCCCTCCCTTCCTCCCTCCCTCCCTCCCTCTCTCCCTCCCCCCTCCCTCCCCTCCCTCCCCTCCTCCCTCCTCCCTCCTCCCTCCTCCTCCTCCTCATCCTCCTCCTCCCTCCCTCCCTCCCTCCCTCATCCCCCCCTACCTCCCTCCCTCATCACCTCCCTCTGAGCATTTCCTTAGGGTGGAGGGCTCAGCGTGACATCCAGGTGGGTTTCTGCACCTCGAGAACCAAGCCGTCTCGTGACTCGCCTCTCGCAGGTTCCAGCCTCGAGAATCCGTCGAGACGGCATTTCAGATTTCACCCTTTGCCCTCCACCCGGAGAACATGCTGGGTCCCTGCCCCTTGGCAGGTCAGGCCGCCCTGACTCCGGATCCGCCGTGCTTCACGGTGATTTTCCGACTTGCACACGTATCCGATAACAGAAGTTCTGCACCCACAGGTATGCGAAAAAGTACGGCGGCAATTTCCGCCTGCGCAGACAAGGAGGATATTTCAGCAAAGGTATGGCGGAACCAGCGGCTGCAAAGTGGGGCGGAGATCGGCATCAGAGGAACGTTGAAGAGTACGGCGGAGATTTCTGCCTCAGAAGCGCACGGCGG